AGAGGGAAGATCTAATACATTTTTTCTTTTATTGTCCTCTGTATTCCAATATTAGGCATCATATTACCACTATTTCTAATCTATTAGGATATTTAAATCTGCACTGTTTATCATATGGTATCAGGAATGTACCTGACCAATTAAATAATACTATTCTTATGCATGTTGACTTTTATATTAAATCATCAAAACGTTTCGTTACTTATACATGCTAGATCAATTCCAAATTAATATTCATGCATTGTTATTATTATTATTATAATTCAGGCAAGTTTTGTCCCTTAAACAATGAGTATTACACATAAGCTGGTGTGGGGGTGCATGTGTGCGAGAGGAAAACGAATTACAACATTTTATATATTTAAGCATTGTACATAGCTACCGGAAATAGAAGAAGATTGATATAGGCATAGCCTGTTGTCTAATTCTTTTGTCAATACTGTTCTAACGTCTTCTTTAATTTTAACTTATATGTTTGTATTATATATGTATTGTCAATAAAATACTTTTGAAATTGAAATTGAAATTAACGATATCTTTAATTCAAAGATATCTCTATTTCATTTTAAGAAAGTATCGATACGTCCTTTTAAACTTACATGAGGTATCTGTGAATCTAATAGTCGAGATATATGAAGACGAAAAGGAGATTATTTAAAGATATTTTAACATTTAATGATATATCAAATTCATTTAAAGAATTATCTGATTCATCTATAGATATGTCTGGTACTTTTTCGATCTTTCTTCGGATTTTACAGGAAATGTTAAGTTGGACGCTCTGCCATGCGAACATGTCTACCTTGAATACACAAATACGTATACTGATAAAAACAGAATGTCTACGGCGGCGTGCGGAAACACTCTGGCCACTTTTTCGTGCAGTTAATACCAGTTACTACAAAGGTCAACTATAGCTATAAATCGATGTGCCCTCCCTGATAATTCTCCCTATTTTAATCCACACCGGCGAGGAAATAAAGACATTTGCTAACAACTTTGACATTTAGATTTTTCTCTGTGATATTATAGATTTCTAAATATCAAAGTACTCGGAACACGTGCAATCCTGAGCGAAATCACTAAGGACAAACGTTAAAAAGAAACCCTGATCTCCGGCAAACGTCCATATGAAATGTGATCAGGGCCCTATCGTCTCTACTACGTGATGGCCTGTGTGATATATAGAGACTAATACTATAAACCTGACAAGTCCTGTATAACTCAAGCCAGGGAAAACACTAACTACTAAACATCAAACCTTTTAAAACAAGTTATCGTCCAGCAATGATTGAACATTAGCCGACTTTCCTAAAGCTCAGTGGAATGGATTGGCGACCTCTATGCGTCCATTTCCCGTGAAAAATGGTCACACTGGCTCCAAGATATCCATCTCGAAGATTTTCTATGTCATGAAAAATAATAAATTAAACAAAACTGGATTCTTTTACAATGTATACCATGGAAGGATATTGTGAAGGATAATGTAGATTTCAGCCAAATAAGTACTTAAGCGTTCATGTATATGATTCTTATATATCTGATACAGATGTATGTTTGATATTCAATTAGGTTGTGGTCCAACAAAGGTACATATCCTCGGCAATGGGACTCGAACCACTGCCAACCGACACACCAATGTGCATACGCTTACCCATGCCAATGCTCTAGACCTCAGGTAGAGCGTAAGAATTGTTCTTTCATACTAGACCGAGATATCCGCATTTCCGGCGGTGCTGGAAAATTCTATCCGACCCACGGGTCTGGATCGCTGAAACGCGCAGACTGGCGGAGGAAATATAGTGACCTTTCGGGGTCACGCTATTGTTCGTGACGACATTTTATGACGTTTTAGGGTCAGTCAGGGTCATTGACGTCACTAACAATTGACATCCGGGCTTCATATGCAAATGAGAAATGCTCAGTATTGTATCCCTTGGGTTTGAATAACTTTATCCATACCTCAGATCAGGGATGGATTCTATTATACCTTCTGCCCCCATTGCATGGTTGTAAGAGGCGACTAAATTTGGGATCTATCTTTTCTCTTCTTTCTAAACAACTTTCTTCTATCTAATGTCTCCCTTGACAATGCCTAACCTTTGGCCTTTAGTTGAGCGTTCGCCCCTGTGAGGAAGGCTTTTTGTTCTGTCCCCTGGTCGAGACAAACCAGAGTCTGTAAAAATGGTAGTTTCTACCCCTTGCTTAACACTCAGCAATTTAGGAGTGGGACGACTGGTTCGCCCATTGTTAGTATAATATGATCGGGTGGGGTGTCCTGCTGGGTGTCTTCGACAGTATGTTTCAGTGATGTAGCAATATACAGTCGGCATCAGTTCCGCGCTATCACAAGGAGACGAACATATCGCAGCCGCCCAAAACACACACGCATACACTACACGCATGCATCTTGCACACAGGAGAGGCCGTCCTTAAATGACCATAGCTGTTGATAGGAAGTTAAACAGTACTAAACTAAACTATACATTATCTACACTAAAATAACTTTAGACCTCACGTCTGAGCGGCGCTGGTATCCCTGATACATGTACATGGATACAATATTTGTGTTTTAAGTCATGTTTGTATCCAACAATGTAAGCATCTGTAAAAGTGCATTTCTTGTGGTCAGTCTAAGGTAGTAGACTCCGCCAGTGGATTTATCAGTCCCTGGGTTATCCATTACTCCTCTATTTTTTGTGAAACTAATACAATTTCAGGGATAATTCCCCCCCCCCCCCCCCCCCCCCTGCTTTTTTTGTTTGTTTCAACAGTAGTTTAAACCAATGTTTGGTCTTAAGCATCACCGATGAGTCCCAGAAGGACGAATCACCTAATAAATTTCTGGCAAACCAAACTTGATAGGTGCAGTCACATATGCGTGTGTCCTAACTTATCTTTCAGCTGATGTCATGGAAACCAGAAATGTCAACGGATGCAATTTATCCCTCCACGTGAAGCCCTGACCAGACCAATATCGACGAGTTGACATTTCATGCCGTCATGTGGTTCGTCTGTGGAATCCGACGTCGGAAGTTCATTACCAGATCGCCAGTGGTATTAAACACCCACTGTGAACGAATCCAAGTATCAGATGTACAGGTTACAGAGCAGCTCCTGGTGCTGGTGACATAATATTTAATCCTACAACGTATGACATTGGATGTATTTTAGTATGATGCTTCGGCCAATGGCTATCCGCTGTCTGACCTATGGCTTCTTGGTAGCAAATGTTGTCTCGCTCTCTTACATGTACCACGTGGTAAAGTTAAACTTTTGTTCGTGTCTAGACCTTTAGACGGTCGCGTTGAAAGTTTTGTCATCAAGTCAACGGCATGGTCACCCCGACCTTCATAATGTTCGTATAAACGTGTACTTCCGGCAACCCGAGCCTGTCACCGAGCTAAAACGCCTACATGTATATTCCTGATTCATCACAGCATGTTTAGATATGACAAACAGTGTATTGATAAATCTATGTTTTTTATTTTCAGTTTTTAAAGTATCATGACAAGAGTACCATAGGGAGGAACAATATACGCCCATTCCATGCCTATCTGACATATTTCAAATCCTTTCGATGCATTATTGTATCCAATATAATTGAAATGTAAGGAGAAGAAATAACATTTGTACTGTCTGTATTACTCAGTAAAGTTGACAACTATTTATTGAATGTTAATTGTGAAAGTAGAAAACATGCTCTACTTCACCAACTTAAGTTAAAACAATATATATATTTCATTCCCGTGTACTTTGACTTTTAAAATATAATTTTCGTAGGAATTGTCTACCTTTGTATATATTTCAAACCGTGACAATAGAAATTGAAAAATACCTTTTTCTGCCAATAATCGATTCATGTAACAACACTAAAACCAAAGATATTCCGTATGTCCATTACTTACAACTACTGGCAGATTTTGCTATTAGACAAAGTGTAAATGATGACCGCGTCTCATCAGAATCCGATTATATTTGAAAAAGTCATTGTACGGAAACCGTCGACAAATAATTAAAGAGTTGTATGTAACATGCAGTAAATTATGTGTAGGCTTTGATTGTCTTTCAGCATAACCATTGTCATTGTATAATATAATACTGACAAAGTCTTATCATAATCCGACCGTATTTGACAAAGTTATTATGCAGAAACCGTTAACCAATCTGAGCACAGTATGCTAATGATGCGCGGATTTTGCTCCACATCAAACTTTGCCTCAGTCCTTGTTTCGCCTTCAGATTTTTGTTGAATTTGCCATGTTTTTTTTAGATCACTTTGTATTCAGTTCGTTTGAATAGGTTTTGAATTCTGTCCTCGACTATACTGACGATATGGTAATTTCTAAATGTCTATTTTAACGTAATGCCATTAGCAACCGACCTTGAATGAAGAACTTCCAAGTTCTTTCAATCAAATCAGTTAGACATTTAACTTGTGGCGTCAGTGCCTGAGCATAGATAATAAGAACATACATTTTCTGGTAAAGAGTGGTTTTAGAGCCAGTCACGGATTCCATCCCAATTTATGTCATCGTTTGGTTTCTACAATGTACGACCCTCAACAAAGGCCAATGTGTAGTTAATACTACGTCCCCATGAAGTACGAGAACCATCAAACTGTACTAGACTGCAGTCATAATGACCTTCAAAGATAATTCGTTCATCACAAGGCCTGCCTGTGTCCTTCAGCTCTGTTCAAGGTCAACAGCAGTTCACAAGAAGCGAACTATTATACTTAAAGCGAATGGAACCCGTCATTTGCCAGGAACCTTATTACGACAATCTACAGCAATTACAGTCTAAACTGAAGAATGGTTCAATTTTTTGTTTAGTTTTTTTCTTTTTTTAAATCTATTTGTTTTGGATCCCTGTTTCCCATTCTGGCAACAGCCTGGGTCATATTCAAATTTATAACAGGTCAAACACTAGTACTCCACTTGTCCATGAGACTAAAGAAAAGACACAATAAATATTTCATACGTTTATTTAAATGTGAATCAAAGTAATGTCAATTACATTTTTTACATATTAGATAACGAGGTCCTAGATCTATAAAAAATATCACAGATATACTATATCATACAGCCTCACAATATGTAAGTCGTATGTAAAACATTATAGATTATTTTACTACATGTATACACTTTGTATTCTCTTTCAGGGTGTTTCTGTAAAACATTTGTATTTCATCTGCCAAAATGAAATAACACTTCTCAGCAAACCCAATGTTTTTTTAAATAACCACAGGGACAGCAGAATCTGTCAAAACGTCACAGAAACCACTGCTTATCTTTCCCAAGCATCCTCGTTTTGGACGGAAATTCCTAATTTCCACCCTCAGTTATAACTTCTTATTTCAGCAGAGTCACCTACATATTAAATTGGGATAATGAGACTAATTGAAGGAAATATAGTGATCTTTATACCAAATTATCAATGAAATATTACACAACACATAGAAGGACAAAGTGCAAGGATGGTAGAGTCATATAAGATCACCTATAAATTAATAATTAGTAATACTTATATTTCCACGTGTCTGAATCTTTGGGGGCATGAGGGTGTCAGCCAATGGATTTAGGTACATGAGCCTAATCCTGATCTCCTACCATACAAACACTTCCTTAATGAGATAAAACTGTTTTACAGGTCCTGGTGATTCACTGTTTACTGATAGACTTGCAGCATCAGCACGACATGCATCAATGTCTGAGCCACTATATCGGCCAGTCTGTTTAAGGGTAATTATAACCTACTCCAATAACGGATAGGAGATTCATGTCCTGAGTCTGGTTACTATCTACTCCAGTGACGGTGAGGAGATTCATGTCCCCAGTCTGGTCACAGCTTCTGTAATAGCCATTATCTCTAACAGGTTAGTATCCCCTACTCAGCTAAAATAAGGCAATACATGTATGTTACACTAGAGTGGCACCAAAACAACCACAAGTTAGTGGTGTCAGGCACCTGGCTATTCTGACAGTAGTAATACACCAGTCAGACTCCCTGTGTAGTCAGGCACCTGGTCATTCTGACAGTGATATGGCAGCTGACTCCCTGATTAGTCAAACACTTAGCTATTCTGACAGTAATATGACACCAGACAGACTCTCTATCTAGTCAGACACCTGGCCATTCTGACAGTAGTATGACACCAGACATACTCTCTATCTCGTTAGACACCTGGCCATTCTGACAGTGATATGGCAGCAGACTCCCTAATAAGTCAAACACTTAGCTATTCTGACAGTAATATGACACCTGACAGACTCCCTGTGTAGTCAGACACCTTTACTATTCTGACAATAATCTGATGTCAACCTGGCAGACTCCTTGTGTAGTCAGACACCTGATCAGTCTGACAATGATATGACAACAGACAGACTCACAGCTGTGTAGTCAGACACCTGGCTGTTCTGAAAGTGATATGACAGCAGACAGACTCTCCATCTAATCAGACACCTAGCCATTCTGACATTGATATAATATTATACAGACTCTATATCTAGTCAGACACCTTTACTATTCTGACAATAATCTGATGTCAACCTGGCAGACTCCTTGTGTAGTCAGACACCTGGCCATTCTGACAGTAATATGACACCAGACTGACTTCCTGTGTAGTCAAACACCTGGCTGTTCTGACAGTAATATGACATCAGACAGACTCCCTGTGTAGTCAGACACCTGACCATTCTGACAGGGATATGACACCAGACTGACTCCCTGTGTAGTCAAACACCTGGCTTCTCTGACAGTAATATGACACCTGACAGACTCCCATTGTAGTCAGACACCTGGCTGTTCTGACAGTGCCATGACACCAGAAAGACTCCCTGTGTAGTCAGACACCTGGCTGATCTGACAGTAATATGACACCTGACAGACTGTTGAATCAGACACCTGGCTGACCTGACAGTAATATGACACCAGACAGATTCCCTGTGTAGTCAGACACATGGCTGTTCTGACAGTAATATGACACCAGACAGACTCCATGTATAGTCAGACACCTGGCTGTTCTGACAGTAATATGACACCTGACAGACTCCCTGTGTAGTCAAACACCTGGCTTCTCTGACAGTAATATGACACCTGACAGACTCTCAGTGTACTCAAACACCTGGCTTCTCTGACAGTAATATGACACCTGACAGACTCGCAGTGTACGCAAACACCTGGGTTCTCTGACAGTAATATGACACCTGACAGACTCCCTGTGTAGTCAAACACCTGGCTTCTCTGACAGTAATATGACATCTGACAGACTGTTGAGTCAGACACCTGGCCATTCTGACAAGGATGTGACACCAGACTGACTCCCTGTGTTGTCAAACACCTGGCTGCTCTGACAGTAATATGACACCTGACAGATTGTTTGGTCAGACACCTGGCTGATCTGACAGTAATATGACACCTCACAGACTGTTGAGTCAGACACAGAACTTCTAAGACTTTAATGGGATTCCAGAATCTCTTTCAAACTGACTTAGCATAACTGAAATTGTTACATGTATTAAATGTTGGAACTAAAGACCAAAGAGAAGTCCTTCAGTATAATTTGCATAGAATTCAATCACAGCGTATTAAGAAGCTTAATTGCTCTAAGCAATTCTATCTGGAGGGGCTGATATTTGTTCTGTATTGTTCTGATATTCCTGTGAAGAATAATACACACTAACAGTGTTCTCCTGAAAGAAAGACTATCTCTCCATCTCGGCATCCACCATTCTCAGAGCTTCTTTGAAGGTAAGTCTTTTTCTTCTGTTCTTGCGTATATACTACAAAAACAAAATGATCAATTGATAATAATAAAATGATCAAACAATTATAAACATATAAATAAAAAGATATTTTAACAAGAGGCCCAGAGGGCCTGTATCGCTCACCTGGATACCAAAGCAATTATGGCAAAATATTCTCCGAATGAGATCAAGGGAATATGCCAGACCCCAAGGCAAATCCTTGTCGCATATCTGTATTAGATTCTTCATGCCCAGCAATTTTATGTATGGTTATGGGGTGGGGATCTCAACTGTTTCCAAGCTTTGACTCAGAAACTAGGTCCCTAGGGTTGTGGCCAGACCCCAGGATCAATTATAATATCGTGACTGCATTTGTCTCTTTTTGCCCAGGATTTGAATATATATAGTTTTGGGGTGGGGATCTCAACCATTTCAAAGTTATGACCCAGGGGTTAAGTCTGCAAGGGTGGGGCAGACCCTGGGGTCAATTCTAATATCATGACTGCATTCCTCTTTTTATGCCCAACAATTGTATATTTAGTTTTAGGGTGGGGATCTAAACCATTTCGAAGTTATGACCCAGGGGTTAAGTCTCCAAGGGTGGGGCAGTCCCCAAGGCCATCCTGGAAGCATATGTGCAATCATCTCTTTATACTCAGCAATTGCATATACCGTTATAGGGTGGGGCCCTCAACTGTTTCCAAGCTGTGACTAACAAGTTAGGTCCCTAGGGGTTTGGTCAGACCCCAGGGTCTATTCTGATATCATGACTGCATTCGTCTTTTTATGCCCAGCATTTGTATATATAGTTTTGGGGGTGGGGATCTCAACAGTTTTAAAGTTATGGCCCAGGGACTTTGTCTCCAAGGGTGGGGCCAGACCCTATAGCCATCCTGGAAGCAAATGTGCATTCTTCTCTTTAACTCAGCAATTGTATACCATGGTTATATGGTGGGGCTCTCAACCATTGCCAAGTAATACACTTAGGGGGCAGCTCCATCATTTGTACAATTTTGAATCCCTGACTTCTAGGGATGCTTCCAGTCAAATATGGTTGATATCGACTTCTTAGTTCCAGAGAAGAGGTCGCTTAAAGCAATATAGCCAAATTGACTCCTTTTGGCCCCGCCCCTCAGCCCCCTGGGGGGTCAGCCCAACCATTTGTACAATTTTGAATCTCCACTACCTAGGGATGCTTCCAGTCAAATTTAGTTGAATTCCAATCAGTGGTTTAGAAGAAGAAGTTGTTTAAAGAAATTGTTGACGGACGGACGACGGACGCAACGGTATGGCATAAGCTCACCTTGGTCCTTCAGACCAGGTGAGCTTATAATTGAGAAAAAAAAAGTCCAGTAGAAAAAAATTACATGTAACCAGCTAACCCAATTCTGATTAAGTGGCTTACATTGAGGATACTATTTAAACAAAGTGTTGCTATTTGAAAGTACATTAATTTATATTTACCAAACTAAACAGGCTTTCAGAGCTAGACATTATCGCTTGAAATTTTACACTTATGCGGAATCAGAGATAATCTGCAGAGACAGATGTGTTGATACACATTTCTGATGCTGGGCCCAAATAAAAGACAGATATATACCTATAGACATGTACTTGTTGCAGACATGTAATGATTATAGACATGCCATTGTTATAAACCTGTACTATTTATAAACATGTAGCAGTACAAAATATCAATCCGTATTCTGATGTAAGCCTGACGGATTGATGATCCGCTATAACGGGACACATCAGATAGGATATCATAACCTACCAGTGTAGGTTTATGGCCACATACACAAAATTACAATGCTACTATCATATGAGAACTAATAACATGGAAACCGTTAATATCCTTTTACGATGATGCCTTGTAAATGAAATTAATTACCCACAATAACTCATGATATTAATTTAAACCAGACAGCCATATTAAAATTGAATACATAGTGCTTGAAATTAATCATTTTGTGATGTTACCTTAATTAGTTTACAAGAACTGTACAGATGACATACGAGCGATGTCTGAACCAATCAATCTGTTGTACCTGTATGGCGTACAGGTACATGCTCTATATGTTGTGTAACATGTCAGCAGAACATATCTATTTGGTATCTTTAATTTGAAAACTGAATATAGAAATACCCTTCACAAAAGCTGCTCATGATGTCAAATGAAGACTACTCATGTTCACATGTGGGAAGTACATCCAAATGGAATGGTTCCTTTATAATGAAAATTCTTCATTTCTTTAATCTCATTTCATTTACAGGAGGCCAAGAGGGCCTGTAGCGCTCACAAGGATATTTAAGCAATCATGGCAAAAGATTCTAAATGAAAGTAATATGGCAAATAAGATGTTAGGGATAGGGCCCGTCCCCCAGGCCAATCCTGCCCCTTTGGTATCCTCTAGTGTTGAGTAAATCAAACTGACCTTTCTGGTATCCTCCAGCGTTGTGTAGGTGTGGCGTTGGTCTACACTAGACATCATACACTGGTACATATATCTCTGTGATTTGAGGAAGTCCCTGGTCAGCTCCAGCTGTTGTCGTAACATGTCATGCAGGGCTATCATACTTGGACTGTATGCTGTCATTGCTGCAAATAACCAAAACAGCCAATTACAAATAAGATGAATATCTTTTCAGTCCATGTTTCCGAAATCCCTTTTCAATTGCAACATAATGTCAGAAACCTGAAAAAAGAATCTTAATTCTCTTAACAATGGATTATAGCCTTTGACCTTTTAACCCCTAGATTTTCAAATATGTTAGTTAAGAAACACTGCTTTTAAGAAATAGTGACCTTGATTAGTAACTTCAGTTACACTAAAAATTTATGCAAGTTTCCACGTGCACTACCTACCATGAATGGAGTTGTAATTCCAAAATTAAAGTTAGTGAAAGATCACTGTTTTCATACACGCTACTTACTTTCTAGTGTTTCTGGGCTGACCACATGTGTAGCTATAGGGGTGGGGTCAACAAAGCCCATCCCCAGGGCTGGCCCAGGCATGGCCATACCAGAGTAGCGGGAATCCCAGGAGAATGTCAGACCAGGCTCAGCCGTTTGTACCTCCACACTCTTCATCTTCACGTGTCCCGTCTTAGGCTTCCTTTTTTCAGCTGTATAACTAGAAAAACGACAGAGTAAAAACGGGGATATAATGGACCCTTCTGCATCTTGGGATGTTTTTAACGTACATATATCAGAAATCGATGAATTTAAAAGGAATCCAAAGCAAATAAAATCAAAACAATTCCACAAGGAAATCATTGCAACATATCAGACTGCCACTCCATGTATCAATAATAATTTCATACAAGTTTATCAAAAAATGAGGTATAGCTGTCAAAGTAATTTTATATATGTGGATTATTGACTTACAATTCAAATGCAGATAAACTACATTCTCTAGATTGATAAAAAAATAAATCTCTTTTTGTAAAAGAAACATGTTTTTAATCAATAAAGCCTAATCATATATATAAGCAAAGTTATTCTGAAATTTCATTTTCTTTTATAGTAATTGTCTTAAATATTGACATTTTCCCATATAAGGAAATTGTTTCAAAATTTTGGTTGTGATAATATCTTACCAACATATGAAGAATCTGAAAGGATATTATTCCTGAATTGTTTTTTAATTTTTTTTTATGCATGTAGTAGATAATGTATAAAAACACACCTATATGATGCTGATTGGTCTGTATAGCTGTCACTGATTGTCATCTCAGATGGTGGCCCTGCCGAAGTTCTTGAAATGGTGGCTATAGAGTCTGTGTCACTATTAAATTCTTCTGTATAGTCGTCTGCAGTGCCTTCACTACTGTATCGTGTCCGAATCTCAGAACCTGACTTTAATCGGTGGGATTTTGAACTCATACCAATCCTTTCAGAAATACTTGGTTCAAAGTCCTCAGAATATGAGTCTTTTCGCTGAGTGCTGTAGTCCCTAGTTTTAATCTCGGAGACAATTTCTATCTCTGACTCTGGTTCTGGCTTAGTTCTTTGGCCAAAGACAAATGGTTCATCTTTCTCTGTACGAATCTCAGACTGAGAAGATTCTGTCCGAATCTCTGATGCTTCACTTATATCACGAACCTCAGAAATATCCCCTACCCCCAACAACTCTTCTACCGTGTGAAGTCCAAATGAACTAAATAGATCATTTTTCTTTTCTTTCTTGGGTTTCTTTTCTAATTCTTTTCTTGGTTTACTGGCAGTTTTCATAGTCTCCCTTGACCTTCTTTCTACTGGAGATTTGGCTGATTTCTTCTGAACAGGAGATTTGGTTGTCTTTCGTGATTTTGTTTCAAACACTACCGGCTCAAAAGAATTGGCATCCATGAGATTGACTGGAAACAGACAGATTAGATGAATATCAAAGGACAATTGATGACATAACACGAATTATTATTTTTTCTTATACAACGTACATTGCTAATAAGAATAATACATACCATAATATATTTTAAATAAGATATAAAAATATATAAAACCAATTTGAAGAACAAACCAGTATTCTTAAACAGGGTGTTATTTCAAAAGAATTTGCAAAATATGTACATATTCAAACTTGCAATCATCCAAATTTCCACTGTGTTCTCCATTTACTGCCAATGTACCGGTAAGCGTTAATAGATAAAATAGACAGAAATTTCTTAAGAAATTCGAAAAATCGACACATAGCCAAAGATCTTTAGTTGCAAGGTCTCCACAAAGTCACAAGCATTGTATTATATGTAACCACGTGATGTGCATGTGTTTAACTCAGTGTTGTGCTCCAGATACAATAAGTTCAGAAGTGATAAAGACACTAAAACTATGCCTGTATGTACCATAATCTTAATATGTTTACTTCTAAGCAGGTTTTCTTCACATCAACAAGACGAAGCTGTCAGCAGTTCGAGATACAAATGAAGTTTTAAAACAGTACAATACCATTGATATTAGTTAACAGTACAATACCATTAATATTAGTTAACAGTACAGTATTGATATTAGTTAACAGTATAATTCCATTGATATTAGTTAACAGTACAATACCACTGATATTAGTTAACAGTACAATACCATTGATATTAGTTAAAAGTGTAATACCATTGATATTAGTTTACAGTACAATACCATTGATATTAGTTAACAGTACAATACCATTGATCTTAGTTAACAGTACAATACAATTAATATTAGTTAACAGTACAGTATTGATATTAGTTAACAGTATAATACCATTGATATTAGTTTACAGTACAATTCCATTGATTTAAGTTAACAGGATAATACCATTGATATTAGTTTACAGTACAATACCATTGCTATTAGTTAACAGTACAATACCATTGATATTAGTTAACAGTACAATACCATTGATATAAATTAACAGTACAATACCATTGATATTAGTTAACAGTACAATACCATTGATATTAGTTAAAAGTACAATACCATTGATATTAGTTAACAGTACAATACCATTGATTTAAGTTAACAGTATAATACCATTGATATTAGTTAAAAGTTACAGCATGAAAACATTGTACATGTAGTTCGGTAGATAACTATTTAATTGATGACATATGAAATGATGGGCAAGTGTAATTAGCCATAAGTTTTTTATACATGCAAGACCATCCTGGTTGTATGCAATCGGTGACCCAATTGTACATCTTGTATATCGGGATACACACTTTCAAGCCACTGATATTTACTTGTCAGTGTCTAAACCCCAAATACACATGATCACACAATCAAACTTAAAAACTGTTCCTCAACATGTTAGATTAGACGGCGCTGGGCGGCTCCTGTGTATTCTTTTGGGGAAAATCCTAGTCTCAACAAGGCAATATTTTTATATCTAAACACACGACACCACTTTCAATCACCGACAACCACATTGATCAAATTCTCCAGAGACTTCATTTCACAAAAACATGCATTTCACATTAATCATCCAGACAATTCCAGACCCTTATAACCTGAACCATTGGCTGTTAATGACATTGGCATCATTGATTTTCTGGGAGATTTAACACAATGTTGAAGCACAGAGGATTCTTTCTCTTAATTGTTCAATGTACTGTGGGTAAACAAATTATCTACAATACACATGTATATATATACAACAACCTAACAGGAAGTATACAGATATCTTACATTTAAATCCATCTTCTGAACTGATACTTTGTGCGTCACTCTCGTCTCTCTCCTCTATAACCTCACTTTGGAGGGAGTCCGAAAGTGCAGAATCATCAGATGACCTTGACCTTCGGAACACCGGGGATGGTGACCTCCTGTGGAATTTTGGGGAGGGCGACCTGCGTTGGTTCTGTGGCGATGGAGTTCTTCGGATAGCCGTGGGAGGTTTGGCATCTGGGGAGGGAGTCCTCCTGGGAGGAGGTGATGGAACTCGGGTCTTCAGTTTATCATTGGACTGTTAAAATTTATTTTATCTTTGATCATATCATGATTGCTATAGAGAAAATTGTTGCAAAATAACCCCATAAAAGCACATTTTAAGAATTCATGAACATATTTGATTTTATTTAAAAGATTATTCATGGGAATTGGGAAGTTTTTCTCTCCTCAGCACATTTATAAGGTGGGCCAGGATTGAAGGGTACTAGGTTCCCTCCTTGTGCAAAAACAGGCCCTCATAAGAGGCATTTTTTTCTATTCTTTCATTCATAATTTCGTTTGCATTTGCGTTTTCTTTATACTGAAAAAGATGTTTGATTTTGATCACTTTTAACGTAGAGAAGAAAACAAGTTAATTAACTGAATTTGTTCCAAAATTTCCAAAACCATATGTAAAACAGTGGAGGAGCCCTGTCTGTCAGTATCCACCCCATTTTGTCTTTCACGTCATAGTTTATGTATATGGCAGAACGTGAACACCCGAACTGGATGCAAGGTATCATTATTTATAGAGGAAATACTAATATTTCCAATAAATAGTATGCAACGTTTATCTTGACATCAGGATGTGGACCCTGAGGCTTGTTTGAAGTATACAATCCTAACTGGATTCCCATCGGGTGATGAAGTCACTGGATTGATGACACAGATTTTCTAATAGTGGTAACAGTTACCATCACCTTAACTGATGCACAATGGAGAAACGTTACCAACGTTACACTTGTATAAAACTTTATCAATATCTCTTTGAAAATGAAATGACCAGAACAACTGCCAATATATTTTGGTAAAACAGTAACAGTGACTATGACCTCAGAATTCTTAAATACAAACTTGTTCAAGATATTAAAATATTTTACACTCACACAGCGTTTATATGAAGTTTCACCAAGATTTGGAGACAAATTAAAGTTGGCATGGTATACAGGGTAGATATATATATGTATGAATGTAATGACCTGTATGTAAATTTGATGAAAGACATGAACTACCTCTGCATTGGTCCTTAATGAATAGGACCTAAATATGTTGCATAGGATAAAAATACATAAAAAATGGTAGAATTAAAAATGCCAACTTTGCTTACCTTGATCCTTTTCATATATTCCCTAATTTTACCATCCTCCGAGGAGTCAGCGTCAAGCCCAGTGATAAACTCGGCCAAACTCTCCTCTTCAGACGATAACACAACATCTGTGGAATATCTTTGAGAACTCTTCAGCAGAAATGGAGATGCTAAAAAGTATCATCAATTTCAGATTTATAAGTCTGTGTGTGCAATTATTTTAATAATTTTAACAAACCATTTTATTTGTGACAGGAATTAACTTAAATTGTAACAGACTAACAGGCTATACATACATATCACCCAAAGCATTAATGAAATTAAAGCTATTCATTCTCAGATTATGACAGAAAAAAAAACCCCAATAAAAATGATAAATGGCTTACGATATCTTGGCTTACCATATCTAATATACATCAAAAAACTTCTTAATAACACAAACTTTTTCAGAATTGAGGATAAGGTATCAAGAAGTCTGGGTATCTCATATTTGAAAAGAAATGTGTTGGCTAAAATCAAATTACATATATGTGTTTGAGTTAGGTTGGTTATTCATCTAGTCACAGGACTTTGAGTAAACAAGATTTTAGCTGTTTCACAATATGTGAGGTACAATACATAAATAATAAAATATTTGACATTACACAAACTGGATGAACTAAAAACAAAACAAGTGTCAACCTGACTTTCTCTGGCCTTCTCCTGCCTGCTTAGCTTTCGGAACAGGACTTTTCCTGCCACTAGGCTCTGGTTTTCTATGTGGTGCAGACTTTTCCTCTGCAGGAGCAGGTTGTTTCTTTTTCATGAATTTGCCACCATCTCTCCCTATTTTGACACTGTCAGAGGACACAGATCTAGGACTAGGGCTAAGGACCCTGTTGTTTTGTCTTTTACCGGGGGTAGGGTTGGATGCTCGTGGAGTAGTCAATGTACATGTGTCCTCACTGTCTGTCTCAAGAGTAAAAACATTTTTGGTGTTTGCAAAAGTTTGTCTTCCAGCAATCTTCTGAGTGAGAGCTGCAGCCTTGTCTAATGAGGAGGATTTCTGTGTCCCTGGTCTTGGCTGTCCGTACACGGGACCCTTTGCTTGTTGCTGTAGAGCCCCCCTGGAAGTGCCAGGGCGTGGTTGAGAAGAAACAGTTGGGATGGGACTAGCTGCGGATGTTTGTGGTTTCTTTAAAAACTTTGACTGAGGAGCTGGTGCAGTTTTTTGTCCAGTATTCTTTTTCAGAAATTTGCTTCCGACAGTGGGAACATTTTTTTTATGTTGGGTAGATGAATTTGTATCCAACTCACTAGAAATGGATATATCACCTATGTCTTCAAAATTTACTGATTTCTTATGTTGTGCTGTCTTCTGTGAAAGACTCTTGATATAGGCCTGTAAAATACGGTAAAACAGACAATATCAGATGTGGTTATTGAGTACAGTCATGGATGATCTATTTCGGAGAAAGACCATTAAAATAATTTTAAAAGAAAGATAGATCTATACATTAACAAATAATTCATTTGGAAAGACAATACTTATATACAGTATAAGTATACATGTGTATTAAGAATTAAATTATATAAGATTATGAACCGATTTCATAAAAACTGCTTTAAAATCATTAAAATTCATATGTCATCTTGACCAGTCATTCAACAGTATAAAACTACATTGTATTTGATCTTACCTCAAGATCATCCTCTTCTGTTGGTTTCTTGATTATGTCTCCCTTCAGTTGTGATGAAACCTTCTGTAGCAAAGCATTGGACCTCTTCATTGTCAAAATAAGATGGAACAACAAACACCCGGCAGGAGGAGAAATCTGGCAGAAATGTAATACAAATTCATAGAGATACAAATAGCCACACTTCAAACTGTAACATCCACAAAAACCATTTTTTTGTTCTCACACAATTTGCTGAGTAAATTGATTAATGTGTAGCTAACCCTATCAAGGATATTCTACTTGATGTAATACACCAATTGATCATGATTTTTATTGAAAAGACCAGCATTATCACGGATAGTGATGCGAAACTATAGCAGTAAAAAATAAAAAATATTAGTTTACTTAATATAACCTAGTATAGCCTGGGCAACTGAAGGGGGGGTCTGTACTTTGCACATTACACTTGCAATGTCAGCATACTTCCCTGGTTGTGTCACAGTGATACTGTCAGTCTTGCTTGGAAACAGGTTAAACCCAGATACTGTGTGCAATGAAACAATCTGTGTTCCCTATGAATTATAGATTTGGGGGTATACCTGATTGATAGATTTTCAAAATTTGGTATCCTCAGGTTCTTATTTGTAAGCTGCGGGAACTGTACATGTAGCTTGTAGGCCCATTTTTTTTTTACTGATAATAAAAAAAACAATTGGGCCTAGAAGCAACTTAGTTGTTACATACAAATAATGTAAATCAGTCTTTTGAAAAAAAAATAGGGGTGCTGAGTAGTGGCAGCAAAAAACACCCCAAAAGACCCACAAAACACACAAAAACACCAAAAAAACACACAAAAACATGAAATATGTACAGATATTTTTATGTCTACTTCCTGGCATTATGTAACATAATGATGTTTCCCGTTAATTGAATAGTTATAGCGACGCGAGTAATATTAACTATACGTATTTGAGTTACTTCCCCTGCAACAAGTTTACCTCCGACGTGGAGGAATGCAAATTCTGCACCTGTTGCTATGGCTTGCCTAACAAATCGCTGGTCCATTCTGTCTGTCCTCAAAAAAATCCAAAGTTTCAGCATTATTGGTTAAAGTTTCTTGAATGCAAAGTCAAAGCATATGTCATGGCACCTCTTCGGGAAAAGAAAGTCAATGCTCTTTGGACCAACAACAATTCGGAGTCAATTAATAACAGATTGAAACAGGTTGCCAATTTCAAACAGCATAAATTACCTCAGCTAGTTGAAAAAATGGCCTTAGTGTCTCAAATGCAGATACTTGATTTAAGACGGGCATTACATGGAACTGGCAACTTTAGGCTAGAAGGCAAAACTACATCATTTGAGGTGGACCAGGAAATTTGGAATAAAAAAACACAGAAAGAAAAAGACGCATATTTTAGAACCTTTTTGGCCAAAAGAAAGAATATTACCCGCGAAAGCAAATTTACTAAGGCTTCAGACACTGACTTTGTGTGCCCAAAACCGAAGCAAAACTGTGGCAAAAAGCCATGTCAAAGGAAAAGACAAAAATCTGAAAGATCGAGAACAGTAAAAAAAAAACAATAGGCCAGTTCCATGAGTATTGGGTCACAAGTATCTACTGTACAGGGACTTTTGTGTTACGTACATCGTCTTCATTTCCTTCCCCATTTCTCTTATGCTACATATTTATAGATTATTGTATTGGTGAATCACAACATGATCCGCTATCTCTTCAGATATTGCTTTTCGCAAATTGACATGTTGTGTCATTCATTAGAGTAACAATGGTATTTGTATAAACATTAGGAAAAACGGTTCTAGTACGTATATAAACAACTCGCAACTTACCTGTTGGTGAGAAACGAAAACAAACAAGAGGCCCAAGAGGGCCTGTATCGCTCACCTGAATATTTAAGCAGTCATAGCAAAATATTCTCATTAAATATTATATTGCACTAAAAATATTTCCCTCGCAAACTTTGTTGGCTCCATCTGTTGAAACTACCAGCAAAATATTATTATAAGATTCTATGCTTTTTGATTCTTCTTCAGAAGTTGCTTGACATATTTTTCCCTGTGATCTTGTAAGTAGGTCAATGTCATTTTCCTTCTCAAATTGGTTAGCTCTATTCCAAAAAGCTACCAGCCAAATCTTATGAATCCATTCCTTTTAGTTCTCAAGAACAAATCCATTAAAATGTTGTTGACCTCTGTGACCTCTAAAGTAGGTTGAGGTCATTTTCATTTGCAAACTTTGGTGAGCTCTATCCCGGGAAGTCACCAGCCAAATATTATAATTTTATGCCTTTTAATTCTTCAGAAGAAGCTGTTTGAACTGTTTGACATATTTGAACGCTGTGACCTTGAAAGTAGGTCAAGGTCATTTTCATTCGCAAACTTTGTTTGGCTCTTTCCCAGGAAGCCACCTGCCAAATATTAAGATTTTATAACTACCAGTTCTTCAGAAGAAGTCGTTTAAAGTGTTTGACATATCTGCCTCATGTGACCTTAAAAGAAGGTCAAGGTCATTTTCATTCTCAAACTTTGTTCGGCTCTTTCCTAGGAAGCTACAAGCCAAATATAGAGATTATATACCTTTCAGTTCTTCAGAAGAAGTCGTTTGAAGTGTCTGACACATTTGACTCCTGTGACCTTGAAAGAAGGTCAAGGTCATTTTCATTCTCAAACTTTGTCGGGCTCTATCCAAGGAAGCCATCAATCAAAAATAAAGATTCTATACCTTTCAGTTCTTCAGAAGAAGTCATTTGAAGCTTTTGACATATATGACCCCTGTGACCTTGAAAGTAGGTCAAACTAGTTTTCATTCTCAAACTTTGTTGGGCTCTATCCTGGGAACTCACCAGCCAAATATAAAGATTCTATACCTTTCAGTTCTTCAGAAGAAGTCGTTTGAAGTGTTTGACACATTTGACCCCTGTGACCTTGAAAGTAGATCAAGGTCATTTTCGTTCTCAAACTTTGTAGGGCTCCTTCAGAAGAAGCTGTTTAAAGAAAAGTTGACGGACGAGGACGGACGTACGACGGATGCCGCACCATGACATAAGCTCACTTGCCCTTCGGGCAGGTGAGCTAAAAATAGATCGTCTTTCTTATGAAGAAGGATGGAGGAGTCTAGAGAATTCCGAGTGACTTCGGTAACTTCTAATATACGAAAAGATTCCGGGTGAAAACGAGTGAAATTGACGAAATCCGGGTCAAAATCGTAACCCGGCGGGTGAAGTTATAAAAGCGGGTGAAAGGCTAAACTCCCGGGTGTAACCCGACGAAATCGGCTCACTTGGCAGGTATGATTAGTTTAATTCTATTTAATGTCATAAATTCTTCATCCCCCATTTTCCTTAGGTTATTTTATAGTGTTGTTTAAATTCAAAGTATTTAGGATATATGTTTTTTCCATTATTTACGTGGAAGATATCTCTTGGGATATTTATCTTTCCATTATTCATGTATAAGTAAACTAGATCCGCTTATATGTTTTATTTTTTTCATTTTATATTATACTTGTTGATTTCGTTTATTTGTATCATAACGTTTTCAATACACACTTCCATATAAAATTGTTTTATTACATCAACTGATTGTTCAAAATTGTGACAACTTGTTTAAATAATATTTATTTCAACAATTCTTTTATGACAATTTTATGTTTTATGTACTGCAAATGTATTTTCACAAATTTTAACAAACTTATTTTCATCGTTGTATTTGTAATCTATGTATATATATGTGTTAAAATATGATTATCAAAATAAATGGTTATGATCAAATAATCTGACTGTGAGTCTTGATGTGTTTAACAATGCTGTCATCTGTAACATCGCGATGCAAGGGAGGTAACACATATACCATACTCTCGTAATTTCGAATTGAAGGAATTGACAGTTGATGCCGAAAAACAGGTTACTACATTATAATATTAACTGAATATTATTTAAGTGTCGTCTGTGTTTTTTTGTGGTCTTATCGGTGTTTTTTGGGTGTTTTGGTGTGTTTTTTGGGTCTTTTGGGGTGTTTTTGGGTAAATCGTGCCACCCCTGAGTAGTGTGCTTCCACCAGGGATCGAAACAGTGACCCATAGCTATAGCTTCCCAATCTGCCATTCTACCAATTGAGTAGCATGAAGCTTTAAGGCGACTGTAATCCTTTGTATGAATGTAAATTATAATCCTTTGTATGAATGTAAATTATAATCCTTCGTATGAATGTAAATTAGAACCTAGCTGTCACATACTGAAGAAACATTGTTTTATTCAAAATTGTGCTTAATAGCCAAATCCACAATCCACACCAAACACATTGTCAACAATTGTGACGACATCACAAGGATAATGACATCACAAACACTCAAGCATGTCATACTCCTTACTCATAGTAAAATCTCCCATCTCAGAAGAGAAGTTAATTGATATAGACATATATATACAGTAGCTGAACTTACACTAAATGTATATGTACAGAGCAAAAGTAATAAACAGTAGAATTACTGTTATAATAAGTGATTAAATGACAATACACATCAACTTCAAGCACTTATGGTAGAAGGCCATGTACCCAGGGTTTCCCTATAGAAACAAAATCAGTTTTTATTACACAAATATCTGTTATTTCGCCCTTGATTAGTTGTCACAATAAGGGTTGCAACAACAACCCTTAGTGTAACAAGACACAAATACCTCTTTTGTGTAATGATAGCTGTGATAACGTAGCTTTTTGACGACGAGACCTTTTTAATATATTGCGTCGGGGCAGAGGAGGCAGGGTATTAATATTAGTACTAGTGTAACGATTGTTACATCGAGGAATTTTGTTAGAGTATACATAAACGCCTGGGGTTGCCACACAGAGTTTATGTGCACCAGTGGCGGATCCAGAGACATATCTAGGGTGTTTCCAAATTTCCAGGGGGATTTCCTGAAGCCCATAAACCCCTTTGGATCCTCCACTGCGCACGCCAGCATTTGCGTCTTGGTCACATATACGTCACATGAATCACTAAACGAGATATATTATCCAGCAGAGACTGCACGTAAATTGAATCTAGGCATCACAAACATTTAAACATGATCAGAACATGTCTGGACACCGTAGCATTGTGCTAGGACAATGAGTTTCACCTAGTGCAATGGTTTTACCTGTTGTCAAATAAATATGGTTGACATATTTATATCTTCAGAATATTTCCGTGTGGTATTATTTTCCCCTCAATCTTCATTGACGATTGAAGTTAGAGAACTCGCACAATAATATTCTCGCTGCTCTGGGACCGCCATTTGTAAACAAATCATTGTCGCTTTTGCGTTTTAGTATATGCGTCTAACAGACGCTTGAATTGCTTTGACATCTAATGTAAAAAAATCGATGCCGAAATAATAATTGGGATCTGTGTCAGTCTTATTTCGAATATAGTGACCTGAGCATTTGTTACAGCTATATTTGGACCCACAAAACGGGTAAAAATAAGCTATAACAAATTCAGGTCCCTGTGCCTCTCTCTCTCTCTCTGTTATATGCCATCTTGGTAATTTGTAGTACATATATATATATCGTAGGGAAAGGGCTTAATATAAGTTGTAAAACTTGTGCCCAACTCCCATTGTATATAAATTACAATAAAATAAGTTTAAAACAAAAAAGAAGGAAAGGTGATCGACGGCTAGGCTTAGCAGTGATTTTCTAAAACTTATTTTCCCCACCAAATATTGTTTATCCATTATTAGTTGTATGTACATTAACATTGCACATACGTTCATTATTTTTTTAATTCCAAACATTATATGCTTCATAATCACATCGACAACAAAATAAAACACTTAATAAATCACATTCACACACGTAGAATTTGGATACTTTATGGGATGAAGAAAATAACGAAACTCGTTAATTTGCTCAAATTTAAAGTGTAACATCTAATCAATAGGGAATCATATTGCTTTTTTTTGTGAGTGCTTACTTTTTAACAACGAAAGACGCACCCTGCTCCAAAATTTGAATGCCTTGCATGTTGATTTTAGTTTGCAACTACTCAAGTTTTGTTTGGAAATACTCAACTCTAGGTTGAAATCAATACAACATTTTTTAGACATGAGCATCATTACATCAAATCCAGCAATAGGTTTTGACAACTATAATTATTTTCCTCAATTTATTTATGTGTGTACGTTGTGATATGTGTTTATGAAATTGCATTTCATTATTTTGCCTGATTTCTTTGTTACATGTACATTGATTGTGTTCATTATGAAATTACTCTACCAGGCTGCATGTCATGAAAGGGCATGTTTCCAGTAATGTTAATTCTCCATAGGAGCCTGCCCCCGTATAATTTTTTATCTAGCTCAACTACTGTTTTTTTCTTTTCCGAAGAATAATTTTACACCTTTCCGACACCCAGATTTCATAATTTCAGTGAAAATGTATTTTTATAAAGTTGTCAATTTCAGCATCAAAGACATACGTTCGTAAATAAAAGAAGGTTATCTCGAAATTGTAATTCGCAACATAGTATAAATTTCTTTTGATAAATATTTCCAAAACATCGTGTTTATTCATAAAACAAAAAAAAAAATATTCTCGGATGAAAATGCACTTGCAGAGACACAATTATGAAGAAAAATGCCATAAAATTGCAATTTTCTCCCGTTATATAGTTTTGGATGCAAATTTCCATCAGAAAATCGGATAGAGCTTTACTTGTTTCATATGTGTACCAAAAATCAGCTAATTCCATGTGGTGGAACGTTCTCATATCGCCGCCTGAATGTGGTTGTAAATTGAAAGAAAAGGGGAAATGAGTAACAACCTTGTCTGAAACCCTATTATATAGCTTATTATATACAAACTTTTATATTGAATATCAGAGCGGATATTTTCATGACAGTTTTATGATGTGTAACGACTAAATAAACAGTATCGATATAAAGATTTACACTGAGGACACCCTGATACATGAATACTGTTCTATCTCAAGTTGTCCTCTTCTGAATTTTCTGATCGTGTGGCCTTGTACATTTATCCGTATCTTCTTGTCTTTGTCTATACGTTTACGGAATCATTGACTCGACGCTAGCTATTCTTGTCTCACTTTCCTTGTTTTATTGTCCCATCTCCAAAGCGTTGTGGCTCTGTCAGGGTTGGGACCCTGACTTGTCTCACTTTCTTTGTGCCTGCCGACCACGCCACATCGAATAGATAGATTATCCATATGAAATACTTTATTTTGTTCTAAGTAATCAATCAATTCTGCGCTTCTTGGAGGTATTGAATGTGATTTATTATATTGTCTTGTTATTTTGTGTAATTAGTTGTTCGTTATTTATCACACATTTTCGCATAATTGTACCAAACTACTAAGTATTAGCTGTTTACAGCAATCATCGGTGGCTTGCTATTTTGTTACTTTATCGACGCTTCATAAACCAATCGTTATTGTTTCAAGATGGAGGGTAAATGTGTTGGAGAAGGGTGTCAAGTATACTTCAAGAAACGTAGTGGCAATAAGAACAGAAGTGCACGCAATGTAAATAGTCCACAATATAAATGGCTCCTAGATACGCTGGTGCAACAAGGATTGATGTCAGCAAAGGAACAAGCACTTATTTGCCAGAAGTGCTACATGAAGTATCTTCGGAACAAAAATCAGCCTGAACCTGAACCCGAGCAGAACCAGGAAATAGAGGAAGAAGACGACTCCCCGTCCCATATCCTGCCGTTGCTGACCCTTCATGATCTTTTGAATGGATCATCTTCACACAAAAAATGCTGTCTCTGTCTTGTTACCTTTGCAAGAAATGGAACAAAATCATCAGTCTTACCAAAACGTGCAAGACATCACCTGATCTATTCACACAAACTGTGGTGTCCCACCTCATCCCGCGTCTGCTCCATTCACCTTATTGGTAACGACTTAGATCCGTCTACAGAGGTTGTCCTTGATGGTAGAGGTTCCTTGGAATCTCAGTTACCATCAAAATCGTCCGAAATCATTAATGACCTCCTAGAGGTGTCGCACGTCCTTTCACAGAACCAGTCTGCGTTTACAATAAGCTTTTCTTCTCTTGATGACTCGGCATGCATGGCCTGGACAGGTTGGTCCAAAGATCAGTTCCTCGAAATCCACTCGCACTGTTCCCCATATCTTTCATCTGGTATATATACCAAGACTACACACGATGCTCTATTACTGTTCTGGGTAAAACTGAAAACCGACATTTCCTGGAGTCAGTGTTCTTCTCTTTTTGGAATTTCCAAGTCAAGTGTGTCCAAAACTTTCCACTCCATAGTACAGGCATTAGACACATCGATAGTCCCACAATTTCTAGGTCCGGATCACTTGACAAGAGAACAGTTGCTCGGGCACAATACTGTCTTTTCAGAAGCATTTTTTGGAGATAAAGCCACTGCCATATTAGATGGCACCTATATTTATATCCAGAAAAGCTCCGACCACAAGCTCCAGAGAATGTCCTACTGTGGCCAGAAGAAGAGAAACTATCTCAAATTCATGAGCATCGCCTTACCAGATGGCTACATTCTGGACACAGTAGGACCATTCACTGGCAGCGAAAATGATGCTACAATTACAAAAAAAGTCATGGACAAGCTAGTTACTTGGCTACAACCAGACGACAACGTTGTCGTTGACCGAGGTTTTAGAGATGTCCTACCAGTTCTCGAAGCCTCTGGCCTCAATGCTAGCATGCCGTCATACCTGAAACCCGGTCAAAGTCAACATTCTGACGTCCAAGCAAATCTTGACAGAACTATCACCAAATCGAGGTGGATTGTGGAATCCTATCATGGTCGTCTGAAACACTGGACGTTCTTCCGAACGCAATTGGTGTCTAACAGCTTTATCAATGTCATCGAGGCTTTGCTTCGAACCGTCACAGCCTGTCTGAATGGTATTAGAGGACCGATCTACCAGAGATCTCCAGAGAGAGATGCCAAAGATAGGCTAATGGCTGAACGTATGAAGGACCGTTTGACAACACCGAATGGTTTAGCTCAGAGAGTCAAGACAGATCCGGATCTATCTAGACGGGCAAGGTCCGAGTTTGTCAAGATGGATGCATCTTCCGTACTGTTTCCCCGTCTCGATCTTGATTACTTGAGAACCATTACGTGTGGAACGTATCAGATATCTCTGGCTCCTGGTTACATCGCCGAACATTTAAGTGATGACGGAGACTATGAGGTGTGGCTTTACCAGCACTCCCCAGACCTTCTCCGATGTCAAATACATTCTCGACACAAAAGCCAAACGAAATATAACGTTTGGATACGGTTCACCGTTTCACCCGATGTTGAGGCCCCAATAAAGGACTACTACTGCCAGTGCCCAGTTGGAGAGAGAACGATGGGAATGTGTGCGCACATCTCCAGTATCTTGTACTACCTTGGGTATTACAGGACGCTGGAAAACCCTCGACCATTACAACCACAGGTAAAGAAATTCCGACAAAACTTGAAATAGTTTTCCATGCGGCAACGGAGTGCATATGTCGAAAGTATGTTTGGGGCTCGATATGAAAGATCCCCGTTACCATGTGACTAACCAAACTTATAAATATAGGTATTATACAATCGCCCGTAGCTATGAACACTCCCGTAAATGCGAAAACCAACCAAAATCATAAGGAACACGTTTTGTTTGTTGTTCTGTCTATTTGTCAGCCAATGTCTTCAACCACGGGGACTTGTGAAGTAGCCATCTTGGATTTTTTTTATGAAAAAGTGTTTCTCTCACTTTTTTTCATATCTGTGTACATATTCTCAACATACCGAGCAAATACTCTCGTTTTTTTGTTAATTATCTAAAGAAAGTCGAAAATCGGCAATTCAACCATAGGCTAATTCAACCCAACATTTGAAAATGTTCCACCACTTACATTTTGATGATTTTTCCTCTCATCAATAGCATATTACGTACTGTTTAATAGGATAAAAATTGGTTTGCATCCAACGCCCATAAAAGGGTGTATTCTCTAAAAAACACAGTTTTTGTGTCTAAAATGTTATCATCGAAAATGGCATTTTTGAGATTGTTTCTTCCATAAAACAGCCAAATGGCGCGATGGAAACATGATTTTTTGTCACAATCATGCCATGAATGTATTCTTTACGGTGACCATCATTTGATTAGATTTTCATTAATATTTTACATAACATGCACATTTTATCAACACTTAGACAGCTTCTGAAAGGTACAACTTTGAGGAGCCATAAAAAACAAACCAAGTGACCTAAATCTTTATACTTTATAGATTTGTGACCACAAC